ACAGATTTTTTAGACCACGGAGCACGCCGAATTTCGGGGATTATTACTAGTTTCCTTTATTATAAAAAACAAAAAATTTTTAATGGCACACAAATATTGACAAAAAATAATAAAACTCAAAGCTAGTACATTTTTTTAAATGAAATTAATGTAATTAAAAACTTAACTTAAAAATACAATGGGAATTTCTAGAAATAAAAGTATTTACATTTTTGGGAAAAATTAAAAAAAACGTGTGTAAAAAGGCCACTTTTTAAATAAATCACACTTTATTCCAGGAATATAGTCATGTAATAGATTATTATATTTTATAAATCTAGCTTTCAGTATTTTGTGATGGCAAACAAGTATAAATAATTGTTTCCAGAAGGATATATTCTACCGAAAATTACAAGAAAATACTTTTTCACGAAGACTTTATTTTAAACGATTCAGCGCAAGTTTCGTCTCAATTTAGTAGTCTTAGCCGGTTAGAGCTATGGGGTATAGTCGTTGCGCTGGGTATGCAGTTACAGTTGCATGGCTATACTCAATCCCGACTCTTGCGTCCTCGTTCGCGCACTCTGGGCAACGTGAGCAACCCATGTGCGAGATGCGGTAACCAATCCGAGCGGAGCCTTGGGTCACGGCAGAAAGAGAGGGAGCTTCGGTGGGACCACTCCGACTTATTCGGTTTAAGGCCTCACTGAAGTCTGCAGCATCTGTTCACCAGTAGGTGCGCCTGCAAGCGGGCGTCTGCTTCGAGCAAGCGGATCGCTATATAAACGTGTATTTGGTTGCGAAACCATCCCCGTCCCACAAATGGGTTGTGCGCTGGGTTTGGGACCCGCCACGTAAAAACCACATCCAGTGAAGAAGCAAGGCAGAGCCGCGGATGACAACCCCCTTATGATGACGACCACGGCAAACGTTTAAAGGACTACGATTTGAGGGTATGCACCTGGAATGTCCGGACCCTTAATGGGGAAGGTGCCTCTGCCCGGCTGATTGATGTCCTTGTAAGGACAAAAGCTGGCATCACCGCCATCCAAGAAATGCGTTGGACGGGCAGGGCAAGCAATGTCTGGGGCCTTGAGACGTCTACTACAGCTGCCATGTAAAGGAGCGCCAATTCGGAGTTAGATTTGTGGTGGGAGAGAGACTCCGTCGCCGAGTACTGTCGTTCACCCCGGTGTACGAGCGTCTAGCCACAATCCGCATCAAAGCGAGATTTTTCAACATCTCGCTCATCTGCGCCCATGCCCCGATGGAAAAGAAGGATGAGGCATCCAAGGATCTCTTCTATGAGCGCTTGCAACGTGAATATGAGCGCTGCCCCCGACATGATGTCAAAATCGTACTTGGCGATTTTAATGCCAAGGTGGTCAAGGAAGGGATCTTTGGCGCCACTGTCGGAAAATTCAGCCTCCACGACGAAACGGCCGATAACGGAATGAGGCTGATCGACTTCGCCGGGGCCCGAAACATGGTAATATGTAGTACTAGGTTTCAGCATAAGAACATCCACCAAGATACGTGGCTGTCTCCGGATCGAAAAACGTGAAACCAAATCGATCATGTTGTGATAGAGGGAAGGTACGCTTCCAGTGTTTTAGACGTACGCATACTCCGAGGCCCAAACATCGACTCGGACCGCTATATTGTTGCAGCCAAGATACGCACTCGCCTCTGTGCAGCAAAAAATGTGCGCCCAAATATGCAAGGAAAGCTTAACGTCGAAAAGCTGCAATCACAACAGATAGCCAACGCCTTCGCTACTCGACCCTCACACCTGCTCTCAGAGAGTACTCTTCAACAAACAGACATATGCGAGCAGTGGAACTACATTTCCCGCTCACTAAGTACCGCCGCCGAAGAAGTAGTCGGATTTCAGCGAGCCCGAAAGAACAACTGGTACGATCAGGAGTGTCAGGAAGCTGCAGAGGAAAACGATGCCGCCTACATGGCCACGCTGCGATCGGGCGCAACGCGCGCTCTGTGGGACCGCTATAGGGATCTGAAGAGGGAAGCGAGACGTATTTGCTGCAATAAGAAGAGAGAGGCCGAAATACGTGAGTGCGAAGAGCTTGAAATTCTGGCCGACAGAAAGAATGCCCGAAAATTTTACCAGAGAGGTAGGCGACTTACGGATGGTTTCAAGACCAGGGCGTACTCCTATAAGAATAATAGTGGCGACCTAGTAACTCATGTCCAGAGCGTATTTAAATTATGAAGGGAACACTTTTACACGCTACTAAATGGTAGCAGCACGGAAATTTGTGGAGAAGAAGAACCCGAGCCCGCAGTCGATGATAATGGAGTCGACGTTCCACCGCCTGACTATGACGAGGTACGTATAGCAATAACGCTTCTGAAAAACAACAAAGCTGCTGGAGCTGACAGCCTGCCAGCTGAGCTATTCAAGTACGGCGGCGAGGAGTTGATAAGGTGCATGCATCAACTCAATGAAGTGATTGGGCCTTATCAGTGTCGCCTTAGACCTGGAAAATCCACCATAGACCAGGTATTCACAATACGCCAAATCTTGGAAAAGACCCGCGAGAAAAGGATCGACACTCACCACCTATTTGTCGACTTTAAAGCCGCTTTTGACAACACTAAAAGGGGTTGCCTATACGCCGCTATATCTGAATTTGGTATCCCCTCAAAACTCATACGGCTGTGTAAAATTACGTTGAGCAATACCACCAGCTCCGCCAGAATTGCGAAAGGCCTCTCCGAGCCGTTCGCCACAAAACGGGGTTTCAGACAGGTCGACTCCCTTTCATGTGACTTTTTTAATCTGATGTCGGAGAAGATAATAAGAGCTGCAGGACTGAACCGCTCAGGAACAATTCACTAAAAGAGCGTGCAAGTTCTGGCTTATGTCGATGACATCGACATCGTCGGTAACAAAAACCTTGAAGTCTGTTCTACCTTTTCCAAGTTGGATAGGGAAGCAAAGCGAGTGGGTCTGGTGGTAAACGAGGACAAGAAGAAGTATCTCCTGTTATCAAACAGAACCAGCATTAACACCGATAATAATGTCAGCATTGAAATCCAACACAGAATCACTCTTGCCAACAAGTGCTACTTATTCCAGAATTCCTGATTAATGAACTGCAAATTTTAATTGGTTAAGAATTCGTGTTGGTTTTTCATATTTTTATTTGCTGGCGGGTTCACCCATAATAATAACACCATCCCCTTTCTAGCTATAATTTAATTAGGTATAAAACTGCAAACTAGAATTATCTCAAAGTTCTTATTAAAAAGTCTGTAGTAAAATTTTATTGAATTTGTGTATGTGTTCATGAATAAACTATGAGCCACTTAACTCATCTAGCGGTATACACTAGTTTACAAGCAAGCTAAGCAATTGTGAGAGAGTAACATTTTTTAGTGAGAGCAAGTTTGAGTGAACAATGGGGTGATTCATGAGCATGTGAGCATATTCATAAGCTGAGCTATTCACTGCCGAACTCTGATTTGTACCCAATAAAAAATTTTGGTTTGGTTTTGGTGCATGAGTCAGATATATTACATTATTCATCCAAGGTTTTGGTTTTTGCTAACAGTTGCTCTTGCTCTATATTTGCTTATACAACCAACCTTTGAAATTTTATGACGAATGTAGTGAAGTTTCACTCTCGGAAATGTAGTGAAGTTTCACTCTACGGCATAACAAATTAATTTTTACCGGTAAGAAAAGAAAACGAAAACAAGTTAAATTGAGGAACAATTTATCTGCCCTGTTAGTAAAGGCAACTTTACTGCTTTATTATTAACATTAGGAAACGGCCCTAAGGGTTTTCTTTACTCAACGTTATTGTCCATTAAATGCCGTTAACGAATTATTAACTGATTCTGAGTGGGAAATTCTTCGAATGGTACCGTGACATAGCCCCAAGTGGCATAGTCCAATTTTAAAATTTGGGGTAATGTCACTTCTTGTGTAGTGACATAAACCCCATTTTTTTACTTGTCGTTATATCACTATATAAGGAGTGAAATATTTCCAAACGAAAAGACGACAAAATTCCAAATCTCTCAAGTAATTTTGCAAACCAAAAGAATTTAGAATGTGCAAGAATAATGATAAATGACATTTTTGTCAAAACACTGTCATAGGAGCTGGCTTTGCCTACAATATTTTCTTGTCAACGCCTATAGGCGATCTAATATTACAACATATTTATGTATAACTGAGAATCAATACTTACTAGACGCGACGTTTTTTAAGGTTCTACGATGTGGATACAAGCAATTGTTTATTATGTTCCCTTACTAAGTAGAATTCTCCTTTCTGTATTGCCGAATAAGAGGGGAAGAAGTATTTTTGCGCAGAACTTCCTTCTGCGTAGGCGGCCTTTGGCCGCGCTTAGGGATTATAACACTTACTAAGTAGAATTCTTCTTTTTGTGTTGCCAAAACAGAGGGGCGGAAGTATTTTGGCGCAGAACATCTTTCTGCGTAGGCGGCCTTCGGACGCTGTTAGAGATTATAACCCTTGCGAAGTAGAATTATCTTTTCTGTGTTTCCGGAAAAGAGCAGAAAAAATATTTTTGCGCAGAAAAGATTTTAATAGAAAATTTATTTTTCATTTCTTTAGTGTGTTCTTATATGCTTTTTTTATTTTTCTTGAGACCGGGAAAATATGCTTTAGCCTCAAAAATGACATTATACCAATTGGGGTTATGACACCTAATAAGAAGTGACATAACTCCAAGTATAACTCATATAAGTTACTGTATAAGGAGTGACATAATTCCAAATTTTAAAATTGCAGTAATGCCGTGCAGTAATGGGTTATGTCATGGTACCCTTCAAATCTATACTGAGCAGCCATTTATGTAATAATTAAACTGTCCATGACTTCGGCTGTTAGTGTAATTAATTTAAAATTTTTATATGGAGGCTATATTACTCGACTAGGCCTACAATTACTACATTATAATTTAAATTCCACTATTACGCAGTGTTATTAGTATTCGAAAGAAAACATATCTATTAATACTTACGTCTGTTTCCACTGTATCGCTACCATTCATTATCGCAAACGAGCTATTGTGCTGCGATAAACGTTGCTGAATCTGAGATATGTCTACAACAGAGGAGCTATCATACAGGACAGCGGCGGTTACAATACTTCTTTTCATTGCATCTACACTTGCTCCCATAATTGTTTTGGCGACTAGCTCATCAGCTTGCAGCGGTCTAATATCGTGTATAATTACTTTTCCTCCCGTTATTGTGGAAAGTGTTTCTTCAGTTTTCGCTTTGTCAGGATTTCCGCCTGGCACTACAAAAGTCAGAGTACGGCTTCGACTCTCCGGTGGATATATACGGATAGTAGTCGTGCTGAACCGCACTGGTACTCCTAAATCATAAGCACGCGCAGTTAGCAGGAATATGTCGCCATCATTGTTAGATAAGGTTTGGCGTCGTAATCTCGTTTTGGATCGCAACGTTATTTTCTCTCGAACTATCAATTCGCCAGTTATTTTATCCAAATAAAATTTATTTTCGTAATTACCATTGATTATTTCATATCGAACTTCATTGTTGGGCGCTGTGGCATCATTGTCAATGGCGTGTATAACAGCAATGGATGTAAAGCTTTTCAAGCCTGCCGATAATATGAATTCATAAAGATCTTTCTCAAAGATTGGAGTTTCATCATTGACGTCAATTAATTTTATAACCAGAGGAACTTGAGCGCGATTACCAGTGCCATCATTGTCGCGGGCCTCTACATATAGATGGTATTCCGGCATTATTTCACGATCAAAACCGTGATTATTGGTCGATACTGTGATGAGCCCTGACTCTGCATCTAGATTTAATGAGGTATTTAAATAGCCCAAAATTGCTGTATATCGAACACGTCCGCCTAGACCTGCCTTGTCTACGTCGCTGGCTTTAACTTGGACAACTTTGGTCCCGACAGTCATATTTTCTGGAAGTTCTACAGTATACACAGGGTGTTCAAATATCGGTGGGTTATCATTAACGTCGTTAATGTACACCGTGACATTCGCAGCTACTGAAAGATTTGTTGCTGGTCCTAATTCTTGTGCTAAAATTTGGAATTGCACCGAATAGCGTTCTTCGTAATCTAATAACACATTATCACGTACACGTATTAGAAATGAAGTACTGCGTTCAGCAACATTGGGTGTAATCTCGAATGTCCCGTTATTGTTTAGCAAGGTTAAAGAGAAGACTCCATTTTTTCCGGTATCATCATCGTACACACGAGGCAAATATGGATCCGCAAATGTCAAAGCAGTTCCTTGTGGAGCATTTTCATCCACCCTAGTGACATAGCTGAAAAGATGTTAAATGGTAGTATTTGTCTATATAATGAAAATTAATCAAAATAACGTAACGCAGTTAATAACCAATTAAAGAGTCAGTTAGTGCAGATTAAAAGCATAGACAGGCGACAGCGTTGATCTGAATCAACTTTTCAATTCGGAATTATCTCGGGAATTAACTGCAGTTGATAAGGATTAATTCTTATAGTTACTTCCCAAAACTAATTCGGGTCAAGGAAATTTTCGATGATAACACTGGTCAGCGGCCAAAAATAAATAAAGCAAACAAGTGAGAAAACAGTGCAAGCAAGTTCGCATCCACGGTAACTAAGTGGTTACCAATGTGTACTGCAAATCAGTCGCACCCAGGTTCGATCCCCACTTTATTTTATTTCATCTTGCTTTATATTTTTTTCTTTTTGTTATATCACATATTTTTTTTTCAAGTTAATCATTGTTTAGTTTAATTTTAATTAAATTTATATTATACAACTATAATAAAGACCTAAAGTTTTACACCGACTCCGAACGGCGATTGTATTTTTATGAGAAGCTGTTTTTCATGGCAGTATACACTGGGCGTTTTGCCATTGCCTGTCGAGGGATGACCGCTATTAGAAAGAGCTTTTTTCTTTTTATTATTTGATTGTGGTCGGAAACCTGGGAGGTTTGTCCATGCCTGCCGAGGGGCGACGGTTATTAGAAAAAGCTTTTTTGTTTCTGTTTTTTGATTACGGTCGTGTAACAACTTAACGTTAAACTAAGTATGAATGTATTTAGCTCTAATTTATTTAAGTTACAAATATTATTTTAATATAAAATAAGGAAATATAATTAAATCGCGTGAAAAGGCGCACGGGAAAGCGACGTCTAAGAACCAAGAAGCAAGCAAACCTCATTGACAGAACAAAAGAAGAACGATACATGGAAAACAGCAAAATTGTGTTTCCAGATGTATTCTAGTTTCGGGTTACGATACATGATCTCCTCCGCAACTATTTCATAGTTCCGCTACGTGCTGATCGTCGCATTAGTATGTCGTCTCTGCGCAGTTTTTCTCCAGTTGAAGAGAGTTTTTTATAACCTTTGTTTCGGGTCTTGATTTGGTTGTTATGCCTCCTTAGTACGCCTTGATCGGTTTTCACTTTGTACATGACACCTCCAAGATTTGTCAGAATGATACCCGAAATCCAAGGCCCCTAGCAACATTTTTCACAACTACCGCATCTAATGAGTGTATATGATGCTGAATGCCGTGGTCGGTGCAAAATTGCTGAAATGTGGAGGCTATAAATTGTCGCCCGTTGTCGCAAAATTTAGTTAAGGGCTTTTATAGTCGCAGTGGATATTATATGTCGCATTTTTACTACGAATGGAAATTTTGATAGGCATCTACAACAATAGCCACATTGAATCTAAAAATGACCCATCGAAATCTAAATGGATACGATGCCAAGATGCATCAGCTGCAGGCGAACAAGAAAACTCTGGTGCAGGAGATGAAGAGCTGTGCTCTTGACAAGGTCTGCAGTTAGGTACGCGTTGCTCGATGCCTGCTTTTGAGAGGTTTTCCAGCCACCCCACCTCTATATACTTGCTTACTTTTTTAAGAACCACATCGGGTGAGTTAGTTTGCGAAGGCGTGATTCGCTTAACGGGAATTTGTCTAGTTGTTACTCAACGTCCACCTGAAAGCATAGATTTCCTATATCAAAGTCAACGTCGCACAGTGTTTCGACTATATGGAGGCAGGTGGAAATAATAGTTAACCTGTCGCTGAGACTTGACTCGTGGTCTAATTTTACTTAGGGATAAGCAATTATGAAATTTGATAAAGATCGGATAATTGCCACGCCTTACACTGTTGTAGGCGGTAGCTTTAACTTTCATCCGATTTCTATGTAGTTTAGTTACTTATCTCTCTTTTATAACGAAACCTTAAAGGTAAAATATGGAGAAGATTGGATCAACATAACGTCTACAACTCGCAAAAAATATGGGTCCAATCATTAAATGTGGTGGAATTCCGGTTAATTATTGTTTTCTGCTTTCCACTGTCTGAACAACAAAGGTTATACTTAACAAATAAGAAACTCTAAGTTCGGGCGGAGCCGAACATTAAATACCCGGCGGGGTGTACCAATTTTGAGAAAACCAGCGTCCTTAAATTTCGAAATATTGAAGTTTCAAGCATTTCTGAAATTTACCGTTATATGAAAAGCGGCCGTAATTTTAATCCGATTTCAATAATTTTCAACGTTTTGCTTCTAGGTGGCAAATAGAATAACCACACCGAGTTTGGTACAAATTGGTAGAACGGTAACCGAGATACATATATGTGATCATAAGTGGGCGGTGCCACCGCCATTTTCCAAAATTTTATCAAAAGCGTATTTCTTGGTAAAGAATTGTTGCAAGCATCAATTTTGAATAAATTAGCTTTAATATTTCCTGATTTACCGAAGATTTCGTATTTCTCTAAATTGCCGTTGTATGGGATTTGTGCGTGGTTATTGTTCGATTTCAAAGATTTTCGGCCGTATCGTATTTTATATCAAGGCCAACAACTGTGCCAAGTTTGGAAGAAATCGGTGCAGCGATTACCAAGATATACACATTTAACCATAAATAGGCGTGGTTATTGTCCGATTTTGCCCATTTTCAATACCATCCGTCCCACGCCAGAAAGAAGTGCACGTACCAAGTTTCGTTAAGGTATCTCAGTTTTTACTCGAGTTATCGTGTGCACAGACGAACGGACGGACGGACAGACAGTCACAATCGATTTCTCTTTTCATTCTGATCATTTATGTATACATTTGTCTATGTGTCTATTTGTATATGTGAACAAAGTTATAATACCTTTGTGCACAAGTGCGCTCGGGTATAAAAATTACGTAGCTGTAAACATTTTTTTCTCCCAATACTTGGTGTGATTTTTTCCTAGTTCGAAAAACTATTTTCTCGAAATTACGCAAAAAGGCTGAAAATCGAAAAAATAAGAAAATAACACTTTCATATATTTGCAACGTCGCGCAAAGAGATCCCATTATATTCTCGAAAACAACATGAAATTTGCCAAAACATGTGTCTAATTTCAAGACCTGACCTACCGGTACTCACACTTTTTTTTATCCCCCAGCGCACTTGTGCGCAAGGGTATTATAACTTTGTTCACATAACGGTTGTTTGTAACAGGCAAAACGAATCGAGATAGATATAGACAAATGTATACATAAATGAGCAGAATGAAACGAGAAATCAATTAAGCGGTGACTGTCTGTCCGTCCGTCCGTCCGTCTGTGCACACGATAACTCGAGTAAAAATTCAGATATCTTAACGAAACTTGGTACATGCACTTCTTTTGGGCGTAGGACAGATGGTATTGAAAATTGGCGAAATCGAACAATAACCACGCCTACCTCCCATATAACGGTAATTTTCAGAAATACGATAACTGCGATATTTTAGTAAGTACTGAAGATAATTCACTCAAAATTGACATTTAGAATAAGTTTTAGACGAAAAATAAGAATATTAAAAATTTTTGGAAAATGGGCGTAGCCACGCCCACTTATAGTTACATGTGTATATCTTGGTAACCGCTGCACCAATTTCCAAACTTGGCACAGTTGTTGACCCTGGTACAGCACACCAAATGACTGAAAATTTTTAAAATCGGACAATAACCACGCCCACATCCCATATAACGGTAATTTCTAGAAATACGAAATCCTCGATAAATCAGTAAATATTAAAGCTAATTGATTCAAAATTGATGGTTGCAACAATTCTTTACCAGGAAATACGTTTATGATAAAATTTTGGAAAATGAGGCGCTTTTATGATCACATATGTGTATCTCGTTAACCGTTCTACCAATTTGTACCAAACTCGGTACGGTTATTGTGCTTGCCACATAAAAGCAAACCGTTGAAAATTGTTGAAATCGGACTAAAATTACGGCCGCTTTTCATATAACGGTAAATTTCAGAAATGCTTCAAATTTCAATATTTCGAAATTTAAGGATGCTAGTTTACTTAAAATTTATACACCCCGGCTTACCATGTAGCGGTAGCCTTCGGAAAGGTGGAATACATATATTTAATACTTGCGCCGGGTATTTAATGTTCAGCTCCGCCCGAACTTAGACTTTCTTAAGTGTTACTAATAATTTTTAGCATCTTAATATCCAAATCAATTTTTTGGTAAAAAAGGACAACACCAAATAAATGATAAATACCTTCTTCTGAATATTCCATGTCACTTAAAGACTTGATTACTGTTGAAAAAGAAGCGCTTCCTTTAATTAGTTCAGCGTCAAAGCCAACTATACTGATTAGTCGATATCGCGCCGGTTCTAGTATTTCCTTGGAAATGTACCGTTCGTAGAGAGGAGGGGTGAGTGAATGATGTGAAAATTTGTGTTTATGACTTTTAATTTTCTCTCTCTAAGTCCAACCGGTTTTTTTTTTAATCAACTGTCACCATGACTTTTTTCCACCTGCCTCCATATAGCCGAAATACTGTTCTTCGGGTTCCTTAGGTAAACGCGATAGTGCATCTGCGTTACTACATATTTTTATCAGTTGCTCTATACTGAATTTCATAGCGGTGAGCCATTCGCGTGATGGCCCACCTCTGAAGTCGTTGAATCTTTAGAACCAGTAGTTGCTTATCCGGGCTAAATGTTGTCCCCAGTGGCTTGTGGTCTGCCAAAAGCGTAAACGTACGGCCATAAAGATACTGGTGAAATTTCTTAATGCCAAAGACAATCGACAGGGCCTCCTTTTCAATTTGGCTGTAACGCTTCTGATTCTCGCCTGGGGTTTTAGATGCAAACGTCACTGGTTTCTCCGAGCTATCAAGAAGACGGTGGGATAAGACCTCAAGAATGCCATGTGATGATGCGTCTGATGCTAGCAAGATTGCTAATTTGTCATCCAAATCCGAAAGCAGCGGTGTAGTTGATAATTGCCTTTTTAGCTCAGTAAACGACTTATCTTGC